CCGCCCCGCCCGGCCGCGCCCCGCCGACCTGACCCCGACCCCACACAGTCGCATGTCCGTGTACACGCATTGCGCACCGCACACGTTATTGCACCACGAGTCCGAATACACACCGACAGGCCTTGTGGACTTTTAACGCCACGGCGAGGCCGCTCGCCCTGCTCGCCCACACCATCGCCAGGGCAGAGCACCCGTCCCCGACCCCAGCGGCGGCAAGGCAACCTGCAGCCCAGCGCCCAGCATTGCCAGCATCCACACCGCACCGCGGTCCAGCTCCTCCAGCTCTCGGCACGTGATGCCACAACGCAGCGCCGCCGCCCGTACACTGCCAGGAGCGCGAGTTGTTGATTGAATGTGGCTAAGATGCCCATTTGCTTCAAGTGTGTTTGTGTCTCACGGCGCAGTGCATACACTACTCGCTGCCCGCAGTGTCGTGGAGTAATTACTGTTCCAACGCCTGTAAACTCGATCGGGATGTGCGTATGGGCTAAGCACGCCGTCGCGTCGGTCTTTCTCCAGAGCGATGCGCTCGTGGGAGGAAGGGGGGGGGGGGGCAGGTGCACAAAAACTGCCGGAGCCTCCAGCAGCTAGACTCCTGCTAGACTCCGCCAGCGGCCAGGACCAGACCACACGCCAGGACGCGTTCCAGCAGCTCCAGATGTACACTGGTCGGTCAAATCCTTCACTGCACGCACGGACCGAAAATAGTGCTTTGAATCACGGCAGGGTGTTATGAAAACTGAAGATCATGCGATGGACACAGACACCGGGTGCACGAGTCTTCAATATTTGATCTGTCTCTTGCTATAAGCATCACTGTGCTGCGCTGTTACCCGACCGACATTTCCTATCCCCACGCCCATTCACAAGCCCTGTCTCTGAGTATGCTGATCCATGCTGAGCAGAGCTTGCTGCTTGCTGAGCAGGCCCGTCCCGTCTAGTCTAGGGTCTGATTTGAGTCTGCTGATGCTGCCCGGTTGCCAGGCAGCAAGCCCCCCCCCCC